TGCTGCCGACCCCGTAAGAGGAGGCCAGAGGTAGAGCGTCCCTGTGGGTCTCCCACGATGGCCACACAGGGGGACTCCAGTGCTAGGCCTTTAGGTGAGTGTGCTGGGTCTGGAAGTGGGCATGCTGGGCAGGCAGGGTCTTGTCCAGGACTACGCTCACTGGGCTGGACTGGTCATCCTATTCCAATTCCTGAGCCCCAATCCCTCCACCTTCTTCCTGCCAGGAGGGGAGGAACAAGGATCAGCTCAGGTTAGAGCCCAGCCCGTGGCTCTGCCACCTCCAGCACGCTTCTGTAGTGAGTGCTTGGGTCCCTTCCCAGCTGGAGGGAAAGGAGGAACTGGGATTCTTCCCTTCCCTTCATACACTCCCACTTCAGAATCTGCTGCCCCTGCTTTGGGAACCTTGGATCGAGGAAAGGCCTCGGTGCTCTTTGATTTTTTTTTTTAATAAGATAATGTTTTTTATTAATGTTTGTACAGCATTTTATGCTTTTTAAGATTTTTCCTTTAAAACAATTAACAATACTTAATTAAAAGAAATTTTTTTTAATTATAACATATTGATTTTACATATTTATGAGGCACAGAGTAGTATTTCATTATGTGTATACAATGTATGTTGATTTATTCAAGGTAATTGGCCTATTTGTCATTGCAAAACTTAATCATTTCCTTGTGATGTGCACATCTGATCTCTCTTCCAGTTGTTTAGTTACATGCAGTAAAACATCATTGATTATACATTTCTAGGTCAACTGTACACCAGTAGGGCTTGTTTTTCTTGGCTTGCTGCACTTTTGTGTCCAATAATCAGCCTTTCACTATTCCTCCTCACTCCTCCGCTTTCCCGTAGTTCTTCTCTCTCTTTTTAACAGTTCAACTTTTTATTATTATTTGGTTTTGTTTGTTTTATTTGTTTTGTTCATTTGTTATGTTGTTTGTTTGTTTTGTTTTGTTCTCTTTTTTTTTTTTTAGCTCCCACATATGAGTGAGAATATGTGGTATTTCTCTTTCTGTGCCTGGCTTATTTCTAATTTTCTCTAAGCTCATCCATGTCGCTGCGAATGGCAGAATTTCGTTGTTTTTTATGGCTGAATAGTATTCCATGGTGCATATATACACATTTTCTTTACCCAATCATCTGTCGATGGACATTTAGGTTTGTTCCACATCTTGGCTATTGTGAACAGAGCTGCGATGAACATGGGAGTGCAGGTGTCCCTTCGACATGATGATTTCCATTCCTTTGGGTATATATCCAGAAGTGGGATTGCTGGATCATATGGCAGTTCCGTCTGTAAATGTTTGAGGAAACTCCATACTGTTTTCCATAATGGCTGCACCAATTTACAGTCCCACCAACAGTGGAGGGTTTCCCTTTCTCCGCATCCTCATCAGCATTTGTTATTCTGTCTGTTTGATAATAGCCCGTCTAACTGGGGTGAGACAGTATCTCAGTGTGGTTTTGATTTGCATTTCCCTGACGATTAGTGATGTTGAGCAGTTTTTCATATACTTGTTGGCCATTTGCTTGTCTTCTTTTGAGAAATGTCTATTCAGCTTCCTTGCCCATTTTTTAATTGAGTTAATTGGCATTTTACTATTGAGTTGTTTGAGTTCCTTGTATATTCTGGAAATTAGACTGTGGTTAGACACATAGTTCGCAGATGTTTTCTCCCATTCTGTAGGTTGTCTTTTCTCTCTGTTGGTTGTTTCCTTGCTGTGCAGAAGCTTTTTAGTTTGATGTAATCCCATTTGTTTGTTTTTTCTTTTGTTGCCTGTACTTTTGAGGTCTTATTCATGAAATCTTTGCCTAGTCCTATGTCCTGGACTGTTTCCCCCTTCTAGAAGTTTTACAGTTTTAGGTAAAAAGAGACCCCTGGGAGGCCAACAGACAGACAAGGCAGCAGCCCCTCCCTCCCGCCCTGACCCTTTCATTCCTTGCTCCCTGGGGCTCTGCCACCAGCGAGCACTGACACTGGAATTTTGATACAATCTGTAGATGACTTTGGGTAGTATGGACATTTTCCCAATGTTTATTCTTCCAATTCATGAGCACAGGATATCTTCCCATTATGTGTGTTGTCTTCAATTTCTTTCATCAACGTTTTATAGTTTTCAGTGTACAGATCTTTCACCTCCTTGGTTAAATTTACTCCTAAGTACTTTAATTTTGTAGTTATGGCAAATGGGATTGTTTGTTGGCATATAATTGTTTATAATAGTTTCTTATGGTCCTTTATACTTCTGTGGTATCAGTTGTAATGTCCCCTCCTTCATTTGTGATTTTATTTATTTGAGTCTTCTCTCCTTCTTTCTCAGTCTAGCTAAGGGTTTGTCAATTCTGTATATATTTCAAAAAACCAACTCTCTGTTTCACTGACCTTTTCTGTTGTGTTTCTAGTCCTCATTTCATTTATTTCTGCTCTGACCTTTGTTATTTTCTTCCTTCTGCTAACTTTGGGCTTAGTTTGTTCTTTTTCTAGTTTCTCAAGGTGTAATGTTAGGTGGTTCATTTGACATATTTCTTCTTTTTTGATGGTGTTTATTGCTATAAACTTTCCTTTTAGAACTGCTTTTGCATCCTGTAAGTTTTGATATGTTGTATTTCCATTTTCATTTCTCTCAGTATGTTTTAAATTTTATTTTTCAATTTTCTTTTTGACCCATTGGTTGTTCAGGAGCATATTGTTTAATTTCTATATATTTGTGAGTTTTCTGAAATTCCTCTATTATTGATTTCTAGTTTCATATCATTGTGGTCAGAAAAGATACTTGATATGATTTCAATATTCTTAAATTTGTTAAGGCTTGTTTTGTGGCCTAACATATAATCTATCCTGGAGAATGTTCCTGTGTGCCTCAGAAGAATGTGTATTCTGTTGCTGTTGCACAGAATAGTCTGTCTATGTCTGTTAGGTCCATTTTGTCTTAAGTGTAGTTGAAGTCGGCTTGGTCTGAGTGTTGGTGTACCACCAATATTCATGTGTTGAAACTTAATCACCATTGTGATAGTATTAAGAGATAGGACCTTTTGGAAAGTGATTAAGTCATAAGGACCCTGCCCTCATGAGTGAGATTAGTGCCCTTATAGAAGATATTGAAGGGAGGTTGTTTTCCCCTTTTCACCATATGAGGACATAGCAACAAGGCACCATCTGTTAGGAACAGGCACTTACCAGACACCAAGTCTGCTAGCACCTGGACCTTGAAGTTCCCTGCCTCTAGAACTGTAAGAAATAGATTTCTGTTTTTTACAAATTACCCAGTCTAAGATATTTAGTTATAGCAGCCTAAATGGACTAAAGCAGAGTCTAGTATTTTCTTATTTTCAGTTTGGCTGATCTGTCCATTGTCGAAAGTGGGGTATTAAAGTCTTCTACTATTGTTGTATTACTATTTCTCCCTTTAGATCTCTTAATATTTGCTTTATATATTTAAATGCTCTGATTTAGGGTGCATGTATATTTATAATTGTTGTTTCTTCTTGATGAAATGACTCCTTTATCATTATATAACGACCTTCTTTGTCTCTTTTTGCAATTTTTCACTTAAAGTCTATTTTATCTGATGTAAGTATAGACACCCCTCCTCTCTTTTGATTTCCATTTGCATGGAATATCTTTTTTTAAGCCTCCACTTTTGATCTGTTTGTGTTTTTGAAGGTGAAGTGAGTCTCTTATAGGCAGCATATAGCTGGGTCTTGTTTCTCTGTTTGTTTGTTTTTGTTTTTTAATTCATTCAGCCATTCTATGTCTTTTGGTTGGAAAATTGTATCCATTTACATTTAAGGTAATAATTGGTAGGTAAGGACTAACTACTACCATTTTGTTAATTGTTTTCTGTTTTTTAAAAATAGATTATTTGTTTCTTCCTGTCTTGCTGTCTTTTTTGTATGATTAGATGATTTTCTGTAGTGGTATGCTTTGATTCCCTACTCATGATACCTTATCTTATATATACTTGACCACTGTACTAAGTTGTAGAAGCACAATAATCCATAAAATGGAGAGCCAAGTCCCCAGTCAAGTTTGAAGGGTGAGAGAATGCTTTCTGAATTTTTTTCTGGGGGCTTGGGGTTTAAACTTGAACCAAACACACCTCTGTGAGTGCTGTGAGTGATGATGTACAGCTACTCCATGATCTGAGCAGGAGACACATGTGGAGGAGATGCAGTGGAAGGTGCATAGAACAAGGTGGGGGGATGGAAGCACCAAAGGTATCCAGGGCCAACTGGGCTCCTCACAACCCAGCTTCAGGCTGATTCATCAATCCTCCTGAATTGTTGAGCCCTGTGAAATGGAGATTTGGGAGAGACATCTCTAGGACCTGCCAGCACTGACATCATAGCATCTGGGGCAGAAAAGCTCAGGTCCTCATGCACAACTGAAGGCAGAGTGGGTCATCTGTGATCAGCATGGTGATATTTGTGTAGCATGTCATGTGTATATTGTATGTTGGGGGAGAGGGAGTGTGTTCATGGTGTGTGTGGTATGTTATGTGGTGTGTGCATAGAGTGTGCATGTGGTGTGTAGGGTACATCATGTGGGGTGTATGGGATGCAGGGGTGTGTGTTTGGTTTAAGGTGTTTAAGGCTGTGTAAATGCAGAAGCTATACAGATGGCTGTCCTTGTTCACCAGCACTCTTAGACCCATGCGCTCTTTCTTCTATTGTAATGCATGCATGCACTGTACACCAAGAATGTGAGTTATGGTGGGCAGTGATTCCCAACCCTTTTGAGATTGTTACCCTACTCAATAGCCCATCTCCCTTTGCATACTTGTTACTTTTAGATGAAAGCAGGTTAAATTGGGGGAATTTCCAATGATCCTAGTGAAATTTGGAAACCTTCCCCCCCCTCTCTGGTTTTTCCCCGACTACCACTGCAAGTTGCTGGTCTGAAGTGCTGGAGTAGAACTGCTGGAGCTCATGGCCAGGCAGCAGGCTCATCTGGTAAACTATCTTGTGATGCTAACTCTTATATTCCTGCTCATTGCAGCCCCAGCCCCCAGAAGGCAAAAGTGTGACCACTGGACCCCTTGTCCCCCTAACACCTATGCCTACCGGTTACTCAGCGGGGGTGGCAAAGACAAGTATGCCAAAATCTGCTTTGAGGATGAGATGTAAGTACCTATGCTTAAGAAGAAAACATAGCTGTCCTACTTTAGTCTTTCCCATTCTCTGAGGTTGACCACACAGCAAGTCCACCCACAGAAGAGAACCACATGTCCTTGGATGTAGGCAACCAGCTGAGAGCACCCAAGCGGACATGAGAATGCCTCACCGTTCATCGGGGAAGAATGTTGTTGTCGGAAATGGTTGTATGTGGCAGGGTGAACTGTTTTGCAGTTTCATTTGGCAGCACTTAGAACAAACCTTAGTTGATGTTTTGTACCTTACTTTGAATGTGTGGCCAAGACCTTCAAAGTCATGAGAACACCAAAATTCAGCTGACACAGGCTTTTTCAGTTTTGTTTTGAGATCCTCCGCTCAGGGATTAAAGCAGGTGTAGTTTCTCTTTGCAGTCCACGCCTCACATAGTATGAGCTGGTGAAAGTCCCCTCTTCTTCAATAGTCTGGGAGAATTTATGTAAAACTCATATTATTTCTTCTTTAAACGTTTGATGTAATTCCCCAACAAAGCCGTCTGAGTCTGGAGTTTTCTTTGTGAGAACGTTTGTACCTACAAATTTCATTTATTTAATGAATGCAGGGCTACTTAAGTTACCTATTTCTTCTTGAGTAAACCCCATCATTTTCTGAGTGCTGCTTTGATTTATAACACAACTAAACTCACCTTAGTCTTTCTTTATTCAGACCTGAAGTCAGCCATCTCTGTAATGAAACAGTTCCTTTAATGACATAGAATATTTAGAAACTAAGATCTGGACACTGGGTGCGCTCATAGCCAATGAGGATAGTATGACTTCTAAGCACTTTTAGTGGACAGAGCCAAGAAATACATTTTCTTCCAAGTCATAAATTTACATTAGTATTTCCAATTCAAATTTAACAATGCAGAGATTTTCTCCCCTTAAGTTCTTTGATTTTACATTTTAACTCTTTTCCCTTACACTGAAAATCTTGGTTCCCAATACCATGAATGTTTGCTTTCAAATTACAATACCAGTACAATTTACAATACAACGACTAAGTGAAGTTTAAAATTTTTTGCAGTTCTTTTTTCTTTAAAGATATTCCATTAAGGGGGTAAAGAACATAATGACCAAAGTCATATGAAATAAGTTATTTTCCTGCGGTTTTGTTACATATTTCATATATAGTTGGATTCATTTCAATTTATGTTCAATTCTATGTTTACTTCTGGTTTTCTCTGAATTTAATTTAATTTTTGAATATGTAACACATTTTCATGGCTCATAACTCAACATGATGTGTCAAAAAAAAAGTATTCTCAGAGAAATCTTCCCAATAATGTCCACTTTTTCTCCCCACATCCTGTTTCCCTTAATTAATTTTTTCATTACTTCCTGATCTATCCTTCCAGTGTTTGTTTTTATGGCAAAAATAAGCTATAAAGATATAATTAATACATACCTATGTATTTGTTTTATATGCATTTTCATATATGCATGTATATGTATGAGTATATATGTATATGTATGTATGAATATGTATGTATCTATGCATGTAGGTGTACACATAATGCATAGATACACATATGTACACATACACACACATATATTCTTTCTTACATAAAGGTAGCAAACTCTATACACATTTTTGCACTTTGTTTTTTTTTTACTTAACAGTATCATAGAGATCACTTCATATCAGTACATAGAGATTTTCCTTGTGCCTTTTTATTGGTGCATAGTATTCCATAGCATGGGTGTATTATAGTTTATTCAGCTAGTTCTGCAGTTATGGGCATTTCTAATGTTTGAAATATTTTGATATTACGAATAATGCTGCAATTAGTAACATTGTGGAATATTTTGTTTTATAATTATCATGAAGTGAACACTTGTGTAACCAGAATTCAAGTTAAGAAATAGACTGTAACTAGCAAGCCACACACCCCCCATGTACTCCTTCCCAAATGCAGCCCCCTCTTTCCTTACTGCCCACTGGTAACTTCTATTCTGTCTTTTATGATAATTGTTTCCTTGCTTTTCTTGATAGTTTTACTACCTAACCATTATTGATTTTGTCTATTTTGAACTTTATATAAATGGAATCATAAACCATATATTCTTTTGTGTCTAGCTTTTATAGTTTGAAATTATATTTGTGATATCTGTCTTTGATGTTGGGTATAGCTATTGTTTGAAAATTTGCATTGCTATGTAATGTTGCCTTGCAAGAATATACTACAATTTATTTGTCCATTCTAGTGTAGAATGACATTTGGGTCATTCCCAGTTTGGGGCTGTTATGAATAACAGTGCTATAAATAGTGTTGTTTATGTCTCTTGGTGCACAAGTGCATACATTTCTGTTGGGTATTTTGTATTTGTGGGGAGCATGTCCCACAGCTAGCCTCAAATTTGGTGATACTCTAGAAGGACTTAAGACTTAATAACAGGTTATACTTCTGGATAAGATTTGTTACAGCAAAATATACAGAGTAAAAGCTGCTGCATGTTGTACTGATGGTGAATTTTGGCATTTTATGTTTTTTGAAATATCTGTATTTCATCTTTATTCCTGAAATATATTTTTACAAGCTGCATTGCCATTATGTTCTTTGAACACATTCAAGGTACTCTTCCATTGTCTTCTAGATTTCATTGTTTCTTTTGAGAAGTCAGCTGACAATCTAATTGTTGCTGCTGTAAAAGTAACTGGCTTTCCTCCTCTTTGATTGTCTTTATAGTTTTTTCCTTGTGTTTGGTTTCAGCATTTGTATCCTGATGTGTCTGTTGTTGTTTTATCTTATATGGGGTTTGGGGGCTTCTTACATATGTTCATATTGAAGTCCTTCATCATACTTGATAAATTCTCTGCTATTGTATCTTCTGCTCCATTCATTTTCTCTTCTTCTGAGACTTTTTTTTTTTTTGTCCTTTTTGTGACCGGCCGCACCACTCTCAGCCAGTGAGTGCACCGGCCATCCTTATAAAGGATCCAAACCCGCGGCGGGAGCGCTGCTGCACTCCCAGCACCACACTCTCCTGAGTGCGCCACGGGGTCGGCCCTTCTTCTGAGACTTTTAATGAAATGTATATACTATTACCTGTATCCTACAGTACTTTTTATTTTTTATTTTTTTATCTTCCTGTCCTTCATTGTGGACAGAACTGTTTTTCAATTCACTAATTGTCCCGACCCATGGGATATTCAACGCAGACCCTGGAGGGGGGAGTGGGAATTGGATGGGACAAGAGACATGAGAAATGGAGACAAGACAGTATTCTGATCAAGTCTCGTTTATTAGCCAGAAGGTCACAGCTTATATAGCCAGCAGGAGGGAATCAGCAGATAAGGAAGTATGCAGATGTTTTCCAGGAAAAACCACAGGGCAAGTCGTTCTGGGAATGGGAACATTTCTCAGCTATCTAAAGCAATGCAGCAGCATTATCTATGCCTAGGGCTGTGCAAGCAGTAAGAAGGAGAAAAGGGTGGAAAGGTCACAGCATTTATATCTTTAGTGCCAGAGGGCTATTGGCAGGGCTTCATGATCCTGGGCAGGCTATGACCAGGCTCTTTGGCCCCGGACAGGTCCCCCTTTTCTATTTTTTCAAGCCAAGAGAACCTCTCGGGAACTGTGCCTGTCTTAGGTTGGGGTAACCCATCCCAAGCACAGTACCCGTCATAGAAATGGGTTGCCATTAATGGCAGCCTTTTGTTTAGGGTGGTGCGGGGGACTTACCCTCTTTGGCTTACCCTCTTTGGATTTACCCTGTCTTTGGCTATCCAGTTCAGCTCACAGAGGCAGCATTTGTTAAGGTGAATGTAGTGGCATATAGGCACCACTTTGTTCTTGCATCTCAAGGCATTGATAATGGACCTGTATAGGCCTTGCCTGAATAGCCTCAATTTGTTGTTTAACAAAGGCTGTGACTTTATTAACTAAAAAGGGCCCCAAAGAAAGCAAAAGAAGCGAGCCCACAAGCGGCCCTAAAAAGAGTAAGAGATAAGGCAGGAATCCATTAAGTCCAGTCCGAAGGGGGTTTTCCACTCGTTGTTTTCTTCTCTTTTCCAGGTCTTCTTGCAGCTGTTTGATTCAGTTTCTGACTATACCAGACTTGTTGGCATAGAAGCAGCATTTTTCCTGTAGGGCTAAACAGATACCTCCCTGTTCTGTAGTTAGTAAATCTAAGCCTCTTCTGTTTTGTAATGTTACTTCTGCCAAGGAGTCTAATTGATCTTGAAGATCATGTATAGTTTGGGAAATAGTTTGCATATCTGAGATTAATTGGGTAGAAAATTTGGTGTATTGAGATATAGAATGGCTAAGGCCAGCAGTTCCAGTCACAACTGTGGCAGAAATCCCCAGTCCAGCAAGTAAGGGAATTAACTGCATGGCTCTCTTGGCCCTCCCAGCTATGTGATCAATGGAAGGACAGGGACAGGCTCGTCTCCGTGTATAATGTCTACATTGGGTAGGAGAGAAGCTAAAACACACAATCCCATCCAATTAGTGGGTAATTGGGTATAAGCCTCATTGTTCCCACAAACAAACACCGAGCCATTCTGAGCACACAGGGGAGTGGAGATGTTAACAAATGTCAAACACTGAGTGAATGTGGCAAAGCCAACATTAATTTCATAACTATTGTTAACTGAGGGAGAGTGGTAGCAAGAGGAATTAGTAAACTGTAAAGGCTGTACCTGTAAAGGAAGGGTTAAGGAGCACTGTCCCTCAGAGGAGTAATTGGAAAGCAAAGTGGGGAAGGCAAGGGGGAGAGACTGTCCTACTCTTAAGCAAAGCCAGCAGTTCTGAGCAAGTTTAAAATTGGAGGCATTAAGCAAGCTATGGGTGGCTTGAAGGATGTTGGAGGTCTGGGAGTCGAGTTTAAACTCGTCCCTGGCCTTAGGCAAGGCTATAAGGTGATATTGTAATGGGGGGAACAAAGTTTCGGTCATTTTTTCTATTTTTCTTTGTACCTTAAATGTCCTAGCCTGATCTTGAGGGCCTCCTCCGTCAGATTCATGAATAGGAGCAGTAAGGGACCAACACACAGGTTGGCCCACTGTGCCCGTGCTAGGGGCTAGGCTATATTTAGACAAGGACAATCCGACAGCACAGGGGGGAGATGCAAACTCCCCTCTGAAAGACCCTGAATAAATTTTATCTAAGGTGGCTATATAATATGTACTGTTTCCATGGGTGCATAGCTGAAAAGCAGAGTAACAAGAACTATGCATAGAATCAGCAAAAGTCTGACAGGGGCATGCACCAGGGCGTGCATCAGCAGTAGGTATAGCCCTAGGCTTATTGACACACCACCACTTGAGGGATGATGTCCCTGACCAGCCAGCCTGGAAAGCCATGCAATCACCACAACCTACAGATGACCAAGTATTTGTTGGAGGACTGGAAATGATTCCTCCTTAATTTTAATAGTGGATACTTTTTAGATCTCTTAGGTATGGCACCAGCTGCCTTGACCTCATCATTCTCATCTTCTAGGGAGATTAGATCTACGTCCTCCCTAGGCGGTGGAGAGGGATTTCGGAGGTCAGTGTTGGAACTGGCTTTTAATATTTTTTCAGTTTGGGCCACAGTTTCTGAAACTTCTGGGGATTTTTCCCTATCCTGAATCATGTCCCTGATTAAATTCCAATAGGAGAAGGCAGTAACAGGGACCTTTTCCAGCCCGAAAGTTTCATAGAAATCTTGTAAAGCGTCTCCAACTCGAGACCACTTTTTATAATTAATAGTCCCTTCTTCTGGGAACCAAGGACAAAGATTCTGCATGAAATCAAAAAATCTTAATATATCAGTTGTTTTAACCTTTACTCCTCACGTCTTTAAAGCCTTTTGTAACTGTCTTATGTAGACGTCATGACAACTTAATTCTTGTCCCATTACCGGGCGCGCTTACTCACCTTATCCTGACGCGGCAGGTTCCCGCAGTGGACGAAGGTTTTACTCTTTCATTTTCAGCGGTCAACCCTCCGATGTGCCATCTTCCTCACAGTGTCCCCCATATCCAGTGCCCCACGTTTGAGCACCAGAAATGTCCCGACCCGCGGGATATTCAATGCAGACCCTGGAGGGGGGAGTGGGAATTGGATGGGACAAGAGACATGAGAAATGGAGACAAGACAGTATTCTGATCAAGTCTCGTTTATTAGCCAGAAGGTCACAGCTTATATAGCCAGCAGGAGGGAATCAGCAGATAAGGAAGTATGCAGATGTTTTCCAGGAAAAACCACAGGTCAGGTCATTCCAGGAAAGGGAACATTTCTCAGCTATCTAAAGCAATGCAGCGGCGTTATCTACGCCTAGGGCTGTGTAAGCAGTAAGACAGATAAAAGGGCGGAAACGTCACAGCATTTATATCTTTAGTGCCAGAGAGATATTGGCAGGGCTTCATGACCCTGGGCAGGCTATGACTGGGCTCTTTGGCCCCGGACAACTAATTCTCTCTTCTACTATGCCTAATCTGCTGTTAAACTCATCCATTAACTATTGACTTTAGGTGCTTCTGTTATTTTAGCTTCAGAACTTCATTTTGGTTCTTTTTCAAATCAACATGTCAATTTTTGTGATTTTCAGTTCTGAAATTTTCAATTACTTACTTTCTTAAATACATTATATATAAGTCTGTTTTGGATAACTCTACTATATGGAGCCCCTGTGAGTCTATCACTATTATCTGTTGTTTTCTGTTAGCTCCATTCATTCTTGTTTATGTTGGTTTCTTTCCTCATGTGCCAGGTTATGTTTGATAGTGTGCCAGACAGTACATTTGAAAAATTGTTTTCTTAAGAAATTGAGGGGCCGGCCCGGTGGCGCACTGGATAGTGCGCCACTTGGGAAGCGCGGCGGCGCTCCCGCCCGAGGGTTCGGATCCCACATACAGACCGGTTCCCGCTCACTGACTGAGCGAGGCGCAAGAGCACCAACGGGGGTTACGCACCAGCCGCCGGACCCTGCTTCTCTGA